CTGTGAACCCCACACTGGTAACAGGGCACCTTTAAATCAGCAGGTTTCTCGTAGGAAGCGGATCTAATCATGGCTGGTTCTTCCTGCTGTACATCAGGACTTCGTCTATCACTTCTGCACACCTCGCCATGAGTCTTCAAGGGTATGTTGCCTTCAAGTGCCAATTTTATAGGATGTATAGCTCCAAAAGAGCTATAGGTGTATAGCTATAGCTATAGGTGTATAGCTCCAAAGAAATATTGATGAATTCAATATATTTTTTAATATATATAGAAATGCTGTCTGCTATCATCCTCAGTGCAAAACTCAAGATGCAATTTAGAGACCCAAATGATCCCTCATGGTTACAGGCTTGTGATATCTGTGAAAACGCAAAACCCTGTCACGGTGTGAAGTCTGTCTGACATTCGAGGACAAAAACTGTGCTATTATGTATAGCCTACATAATAACAAAAGAAAACAGCAAAACAAAACAGACACAGAAGTGGCTGACGACACTAGTAACAGAAAAGAATCAGACAAAAATCATTTAACTTTAACATTTTAATATCGCCATGTGATTTTCACATCACAACCATTTCCCCATTATGTTAACAAAACAATCCAAAACCCATCTCAGCATTGAGCAGGGGAGTCTGTAAATAGGACATAATCAGCTGGGAAGTTGGCCACTCCACCCACCAGATGGCCTGGGTGAGCCCCCCCACCCCCATCTCACTTGCCGTGACGAAATTTACCTGAGTACTTAGGACTGGGATACTGTCTTAGCTGTCAAAATGAAACGAGGGGGAAAACAGTCTCAGTCTAGTACACAGAAGCTGCGAAGTTTCTTGGCTGAACTAACTCTCCCTTCCACCAACACCCTCCATTCCTGGCCAGAGTCTCAGATCAATATGATAGATAAAGGTAAAGCTTAAGGTAAACGATTACCCTATACACTGATGGGAATTGTAATTTCAGAGTATAGCAAACACTACAGGGCACAGTAAGCTTACCAGCATAAAAAATTCATCACTTATTTCCAATGATTGATTTGTACTCTGGTTTAATTAGCCATGAAAGAGTTCATTTTTTTTGACGTTCTCCTTTACTTTTCGTTTTTATTTCCTTTTACCACTGCCTGCTGGAGAAGCTAATCCCTGGCTGTCAAGTTAAGGAAATTTAAAGGTAGGCCACTAAATAAAAATATCACCAATCAAAAATGCATTTCCATAGATCAACCACAGATCTCAAAGATTTTATAGGCAAACAGGGATTTATAATTATGTTTCTGAAGGATGGCCTCTGATTATAATGAATATTGTTTTCATTACAATCTCATCCATTATAAACATGATCTGTAATAACAGACACATTCATCTCCCCCAAAGCACACATGTTATGATATTTACTAAACCAACAACTCTCGTGTTGCTCAAACTTGATAACCAACACCAGCGACTTTAAGAGAAGACACGTTGACAGAACTCAGGAAAGAATGAAAGGCTGACCCATAAATTGGTTGGGGGTCAGGGTGGGATAAGGAATTGGGGATGAGGGACTGTTGGAGGGGATGATTTGGTTACTAAAATAACAAACTCGCAAATGCATTCAGAAAATTCACCAAGAGTGTCCATGTTTATTTTAACTAGCCACCACAAAAAAGGAAAAGTCAGGACAATAGTGGAGGCCAGCTGTTGTTTTTCTTGAAGAGGTCCCTGCTCCGTGTGTGAGGAGCTCTACTTGAGATAGGCTGCCGGAGACAAATGTTCTGTCCACACTTTAAATGGCAGCTGGTTATTAAATGACTCCCAATAGAGTGAACACTTGCTATTGACAATAAGGTAATATAAGGACCGTGCAGAGCGATCAGGATGGGAATGTGAATGAAAAATCTTTAATCTGAAATTACAGCTGTCAGGGTTATATTATAAAACATGAAAGTTGCATCTGCAGTTAGAATTAATGTGTCCCCAAAGCCAAGTTTCTCATAAACTGCATCTTGCAGATTCATATTTTATAAATAGACTACCAGTCTTCTATAAATCAAAGAGAACTGGGGCCTCTATTAAGGAATTAAAAGGGGCCATCCCTCCTAGCACCGGTATTTGTCGAGCAGTATTAGGGTGGGGGTGCGGTGCAAAATGAGCATTGATTTCCAAGGTCTGGCGCAGAAGTTAGGATGGTTAGTCCTGCACAGTAATAGCCACCCATTCTAAGAACACATGCAAATGACCCTTCGTTGGCTCTTACAATGCATTCTAAGTAAGGGAAGGCAGGATGATGACATAATATACACAAGTGAATTGCTTTCCTGGCAAATTTACTGACAAAATGTAAATTTTGGTTGCTGGGTGGTTTATTTAAAGAGTTGATAAGCTCTCTTGGAGTAATCACATGCTTTACAAAATACTCATATTCTTAACAAGATCATTTTACGTCAGAGATATATTAAAATCCACGTTAGTAATGCCATATAAACATGTAACATTGAGGCCAGGAAACATTAGAGAATATCTTGTCTAGGAATTCACTTGTTAAAGGGAGTTGTTTTGTAAAATAAATGTGTCCAAGTACCAAACAGCATTTCTATCTTAAATCTCTGAAAACATTAAGCATTTGGTATCACAGTGGCCAAAATCCCATTTTTTTTTTAATTTGCTGATGTATCTCACTTAAAAGACTGAGATGCCTATAATGAATGAGGTGGTGATTCTTATTGCTAATATTAAAGTCATCACGTTGAGTTTCTCATCTCTTTGTTGCTTTAAAAAGATAAAGCCATGTCTTTTTCATCCATTACTTACTACCGCCTTAAAATACATAAACAACAAGCAAAAAGACAGCCACACCTATGCAGCCCTCATGCCTGTACCATTTGGTATTATTTCCCTGTGGAAAAATACTCAGAAATTTGCCACTGTTATAAAAAACAAAAGTTTGGAAATTTTTCTCAAAGGCTGGAAAATCTCTTAAGAACTTCTTGCTTTGCGTGAGTAGTAATTATTGTCCAGCCCCCAAAAGAATCTATATTTTTATCCACTATAGAATCTGTGTTAAACATAAAAACCAAAAGATAGACAAAGTGCAGAAATTGTTAACTTTCTTTGTGCTGATTTTGTGGAAGACTAGCTTCCTGCACCTCATGCAAACCTTCTTCAGTTCCCAAGGAGAGGTGCCACCAAAGCCAGCAGACAGGCAATGCAAAGGCCCAGGGATCCAACAAGTTCTAAAGTAAAGAACAGGCTTTCTCCTTCCCTCTAGAGTGCAGACTAGAAATATGCCAGAGGGTGTTGCATTGTCAAGGGACAGCACTGGCTGGAGATATTTCTGTTTGTAGGTCACACTCATGAATCCATCGCCTTGTTGCTACGGACCTCAGCCTCAGTTTCCTCGCCCTGTGAGCTCCAGTTAAAGCAGGAAACTTTGCCTCTGACTCCTTGGGCCAGTCACCCAGAAGCACCCATTGGTACAAAAGTGCAAGTGAATTTGGTCTGCTGAGAAAGCAGAGGCCATAATTCAAGCACAGAGCCTTAAAATCAAAGAGCCAGAGGGCTCTATTGGCACAGAGTTCTCAAATAGATTTTGAATTGTAGCAGATTGAAGTCCTACATATGGATCCAACGTGGGGTCTATTTGTCCACAGCACGTGAAGCTGCTAGGGGAGTATTTTAAAAATCAGGGTAACCCAACCCTACAGAACAAGTCATACATTGATGACTTTGAATATGAATGCAAAAGTAACTTTTCATATTGGCAGAATTATCTGAAACAAAAATGGAGAACTTAGTTCATTTCATATTTTAGCCTTCTTAGAATAATAAATTTTGACCCCTGGGAAAGAAGTCAAATACTGTGAAAGCATGAGAAGTGCTTTTAGAGCCCCTCAAAGGAAGGAGAAGGAGCAAGGATAGGAAGACAATACAGGGAAGAGCAAAAGCATTAAGCAAACTATAAAAGTATCTTAAAAATCAGGGTGACCCAAAGAGAAAATGCAAATAGCCAGCAAAGACAACCTAACAATATACAGTGTAACAGAAGTTTGTAAATTATCCCAAAGTTTGTCTCCTTGCAATGATGCTCCTAAAACTTGGTGTATCCATGTCTAAAATAAGTTATAGCCGACTGACATTGAAAACACAAACAAGTCACCAAACCTTTTCAAATTTTCTGTGACATTGCGGAGGATAAAGGGATTACACATCCCAACCCCTACCCGCAGGCAGGTCTGGCCATACCCTGGCTCAGGAGATAGGAAGGAGGCCGGGAGGCCAGGCTCTGGGTGGCCAGGTTAATAATGCGCTAAGACCCAGAGACCTGACCTCCCAGCAAGGACTGCTCAAGAGAGCTGACCTCCCAGCAAGGACTGCTCAGGAGCCTGTTCAAGACGGGTCTGAGAAATACCTCCCAATCCGAATGTTCTTCCTAGGCATGTACCGTATGTTTGGCCTTACAGTCATGGGTTTGGATGGGCTGAGGGACTCACTAGGTAGTACCAAATTTCACCTCTGTGGGCCAGCGTAGCCATGCCTCTGAGACTCAAACCTACTTTTAGACACTTGTTTTCTAGTGCTGAGGCTGGGACTATACAAAACAGTTGCCCCCCTACTAGGATGCATCAGCAGGGAATTCTAGAAGGAAGATGGGCAGGAAGGATGCACCCCTTCCGGTCTGCTTCCTGACCCCAACAGGGGTAGCATGTTCCACTGGCAATACCTGATTCTGTTTTGCAGTTCTTGTGACACACAGCCATCTCACATGTCCTGAGGAACACTGCCCTTGCCCAGGCACACCCCTCCTAAGGTCCACATTTCAAGCCTTTAAGTTTTAATAATTCCACCCTCTTCCCTTTGTTCCTCAGCCACAGGGATGATTTGCTCTTCCTGCAACTACTACTTTTGTAGTCTTGTCTTTACCCTCAGTTCTTCGATGCTTATTAAATTTTCCTTGTTAAAGTAACCCACATGGTCTCTATCTCGATGTAGATTTTAAATAGCTTTATCAAGATATAATTTACATACCATAAAAGTCATATTTGCAGTGTATGAATCAATGGCATTCAGTATCTTCACCGAGCTGTGGAGTCATCACCACTAATACCAGAATATTCTCGTTACCTAAAAAAGAAACCAAGTTCCCGTTAGTAATCACTTTTTATGCTCGCTCTCCCTAGCCCCTAGCAACCACTAATTCACATTCAAGTCCTATTTATAGTCCTAATTGATATTTAGTTTTTATGGAGTTGCCTATTCTGGATATTTCATACAAACAGATGGCAATGAACTGAATTGTGCCCCCACCACCACCCCCAAATTCTTACATTGAAATCCTAATCATTGATGTGACTGCATTTGTAAATTGGACTTTCAGGGAGATAATGAAGACTAAACAGGTTGTAGGGCACGGTGTTACCTAGTAGGACTGAAGTTCTTGTAAGAAGAAGAGAAAACTTCAGGGGCTGGTGTGCACAGAGTAAGTTGGGACTCATCTGCAAGCCAAGGAGACAAGCCAGGAGATAGCAATCCCTCTGGTCTAGGAATTACAGTCTGAAGATCTGAGAAAAGACCTTTGTGTTGGACATCCCGGTGGCTTAGGAGTTGAGTCTCAGCACTACCACCCCTATGGCCTTAATTCAATCCCCCACCAGGAAGCTGACCCACATGGCACAGCAAACCACTCCCATCACACCCGCTGCTCCCCTCAGCAGTGTATTTCAGCAGATCGACCTGATCTGCTCCCCACTCTGTGTCTGGTATCACCCCCCCACCTCTATCCTATACCCCAGTTCTTCTGTACAAAATAAATAAATAAATAATCTTAAAAAAGAAAAGAAACATTAAGGAAAATGAGTAAAGATAACTTAAATGTATTAGTCAACTTATTACGAAGGCGTGTAAGACGAATAAAGTTTACTATATATACAAAGTAAAACTATAGCCAAAACATTCAAGCTCATTTAATCTACCTTTCTAGCTGTTGAGAATACGATGACCATTGATGTTTAGAGGAGAAACGTAATTCATAATTAGAGTAAACGTATGCTATAAATTCAAATTGGGGCAGCTCTCCAGCTTGCCTGTAACTATGCAAGTGCCTCTCTTTTTCATTCTCCTTTTCCTAGTAAACCTGTCCTTTCAAAATGATAAAAATAGGGCCTCCCTGGTGGCACAAGGGGTTAAGAGCCACACTATGAAGCAACGCGCAGCCTCTGTAGCACAAGTTCAATCCCCGGCTGGCCAGGGACCAACCCACATGGCGTGGCAGGCCTCTCCTGTCTCCCCACTGCTCCCCTCAGCAGTGTATTTCAGTCAGTCTGCTTGTTCTGTTCCCCACTCTGTCTCTGCTGAATCCTCTCACCCTCCGCATCTCTGGCCTGTATTTCAGCTCTTGTATGCATAAATAAATAAATCTTTAAAAAAAATAAAATGTTAAAAATAAATAAACTCAAATTGGTAGTGAAGTGATTAGATACAATTTCCCCAAGGAATTTACTGAGATGTGCTAGTAGCTTTGGAGCTACAAAATGGAAAAAAACACAAAAATGAAGAAAACTTTCTTTCGCTTCCTTAAAATCTTTCAACGGAAAACTGAATTTAGGTAGTTTTTTAAGAATATATATGCGTTATTTCTATTTTATTATGGGAAAAATCTCCTTATTTTTTTCTTTAATACACCAAACTTGGTTGACAAAGACAAATATGTCGAGAGGATATCCCAGCAGAAACCACTGTGGTTTGAGGGTTTTCTCATCACTTCATATTAGAGAAAATGATGCTGAATCATATACCCTTAGCAATCAAAAAGCAACAAACATGTGTAAGTAATGAAAATGTGCCATGGTAAGTAATCATCGTGGGGCCCCTGAAGGAGACAGCAGCTTTTATTTACTTAGAACATTCCGCCATGCTCCGCAGAGGAAGAACATTTTCAGGATACTCTTAGACAAAAGTCCTGCCCATCCAATTCCTCTCTGTGTGGTTTTAATATTGACTATAGTAAATACTATTTCTTCATGAAAATGAATTTCCATTAGACAGATTCTTATAATTGGTATATAGGAATATCCCTTCTTATATACCAGATTTGGGGGGGAAGTCCCATGGGGACCAAATCATGTTCACCAGAATGGAAAGCCACAAGGAAAACTATGATGGCCTCAGTAGGTGTAACAGTGACAAACTGCACCATGTGAATAGGGAGAGCTGGTTCTTTCCTGTCACACCCGAGCCATGCACTGTATGTTGTAGAGCTATGAGAAATACAAGTCTTAACCAGAAAGAGATTGAAAGTGGGGAACTGGAGTCGCCAGTGGACAAGAGATTTTAATTCACTGCTGAAAGTCAAAGAGTTACGAAAACAAATGGATGGTTGAGATTACATGAAAAAGTGTTGAGCCCAAAATATGCTAGGAAGGATTAAAAGGGAGGTGGGAGCCATTGCGAGGGAGGTGGGAGCCATCTGCACAGAGATCTGGATCGAACCCATTCTCTGATATTGGGCAAAGACATTTCATCACTTCTAAGATCTAGATAAAAAGATCTATGGTCTCCCCTCCAAGCAACTTCGTGAAACTAACTCAAACCCCAAGTACTTTCAAGTCCTTGGTTTGAAAAAAGGTGCAGGGACTGAAGACACTGAGGTTCGCTATCCTCCTCTGTGTATAAGTAAATTAGGATGCTCAGTTATAGTTCATCTGGCTGTGATTATAGCTCCTTTCAATCTACCAGCCAGACAGTTGATGATGAAACCTAATTTTCTGACATCAAAGATGAGGGTCGAACTCTGAATCACAGTAAACACCCTGAGGTTCTCATCCAGGCTCCTCATTTTAGATACCCCCTGCTTATTTAAAGTAACTTTTTTTCTCTTTAATGAAAATATGTGCAGGCATTGCCACATAATGCATCTCTGTCGTGCAGCTTAAGTGTCTGGCACCTCATTCTGATGACATAATTTTGACAATACAGTCAGTTTCTCGTTACTCACTACGCTCTCAGATACCTCGACAAAGAAGTGCAGTGCTATCAGAAATAGTCACATCAATTGATAACTATGAGAAACTTCTCAATGTAGAAATATTTATCTTAATTTCACTGTCTTTGGTATGTTTGTATCACTCAGTGACTGTAATGGAACATAGGTGAGGCATATATTTTCTGATTCACCTCAACATGTTTTTAAATATGTTATTTTAGCGGACTGCTGTTTATATGGCAGATGAAAGATACAAACAAAAGAGACTGCGGTTATTCTCAAGGGACATATAGTCAAAGTAAGACGAATGGACTCATACAGAGCATGTCAGAAAGCACAGATGTTTAATGAGCGCCAGTATAGATGATGATGATATGAAAGACACTGGGTATCGGACACCTCAGCTAAGAAATGGGTGATAACCACCAACCTCAAAAATGCACGTTACTTCTCCACATGGGGTCAGCCATGACATGGGCCCCACAAGTTTCCTTCCATACCTGAAGGGATTTGTGTTATGGCAAATAGAAAGGTGAAATGGGGCCTCCCTGGGGGTTAAGTCTCAGTGTTATCACCGCCATGGCCTGAGTTTGATCCCAGCCAGGGAGCTACCCACGTGGTGCAGCAGACCTCTCCTGTGCGTCTGCTGCTCCCCTCAGCAGTGTACTTCAGCAGATCTGCCTGTTCTGCTCCCCACTCTGTCTCTGGTGGATCCTCTCACACCCCACAGTTCTGGCCTGTACCCCAGTTCTTCTATACAAAAATTAAAATGAAGCAAAACAAAAGGGAACATGTAGAACCACCCTAGAGCCCTTTAAACCTTCATTCAGAAAAAAGCACCTTTCCTTTCCACGTATACTTTCTGTGACCCAGGGAAACTGAGGCCGGAAGTATGGTCCTTCCACAGGCAGGCAGCACAGTGATTCTTCAGATACATTTAATATCCCAGATATTTTCAGAAAGCGAATGAGCATTTACCAGAGACAAAACAGTTAGCTGGAATTACTTCAGAAGTCAGCCAGGATCCCTTAAAGACCCGAGGAGAAAGGCCACCCGGGGCACGATGCAGGGAGACAGCGTAACTGGGAGCCCTGCTTGAGGTATGGGGAATATATAGTCCGATGTGATCGCCCTTCATTTTTCTCTATTTACTTATTCTTGGGCTATTTGCCTCTCGCTTGCAATCAGATCCTATGTTGACTTTAGGTTATCCGGCGCCTGACCCACTTCTGGCTTCGTGCAGTATTCTGGCATCCACACGTTTCCCGTCCTCAGCCCTCACCAATTCTGTCCAAGTCCTTTAATCCACACCACTCTGCTCCGCTTAAGGAGTCCCAGGATACAGCCTCTGCAGCCTCCAAGCACCTGTACCACATCTGCCCACGTAGCTCAGGCCAAATCCCAGACCTGGCTCCTCTCGCCTATCCAGCAGATCAATGCCACTGTTGTCTACTGCTGGGTACGGGCACCTTTAAATAGAAAGTAAAGACACAAAGCAATAAGTAAATGCATTTTTGGGGTAAATTAAACCTGGAAACACTGGGTCCAGAGGGATGGGAATCAACTTTCTTCATAGTAACAGTTTAGGAACTACTCAAAGAAGAGTTTCTTATAAAAAGGAACCTCTGTTATGGGAGGTCAGGAGACGTTCACAGCAATGGTGAGACTTGGGCTAAGCAGGATGTAAAAGAACAAAACAGAAACACAGCTTATCATGCATCTTTAACAATTTTTAAAAAATGTAATAAAAATATGACTATATAGAAATCACATATAGTTCAAATTTCATTCATTTTATCTGCAACACATATATCCAAAGCATCAAGTTATAACATAGTTAAAGTTAACTGTAAACCTGAGTAGCTTCTCAGTTCATAAACTGAGTTATGCAAATTATGCTCATTATTTTTTAAAGTTAAGCTTATGCTTAATTATGAGAGACAGGGAGAAAGCAGTTTTCATCACAACTTCAGCATCAGATCTATACAATTTCTTTGATTATGGCACTACCAAACTTTTGTTAGGATAAGCAGACAGAGGAGAGGGTTTTTAGAGAAAGGATCCTACCCATTTAGGCTTCAGACACCAGCCAAGGAGCTCAGAAATAAAGGGAGAGAAATTTGCCCCCCACCTTTCTTAGACATAAGTGGATGATTCTACACCCAATGGCACTTCATGAAAGTTATATTTCCAGCGTCTTATGGAACTGATCTTTCCTTTTTTTTTTTCCTTGCAGAAAAACTGGAGACCTTGTTTACAATATTGCTGTTTAGAAGCAATAAAGTCATTTTCCTTCCTAACATATGAGAGCTATTTTACATAATCTTTTCCAACCTTCCTTAGAGTACCCTCCAGGGACCAGCAATTCAGGTCAGTCTGTGAGTTTTTGTCTTCGTTATTTTCTTTTTAAATGGGCTGGTCTGGACAACTCAGCCTTTAGCTGGTTCCAACAGGCCCTGGCTGAACACTCATGGCATGTGCATGTCAGGGCTCTTTTCTAAAGGGACAGTGACAGCAGACACTAAAGCTGATGGGTGAGCAAGGTACTTAGCTTTTAGTACCGTTAATTCAATTTTCCAAGTGGGAATCCCTCCAGGAAAAAAGTTCTAGCGTTGAACTCCCATTCTCTATTCTTGTTTTAAGGTCTGAAGTGGAAGGGAAAGAGGATTAATTTTTCATATGAATTAAAGATGACTCTAACAATATGTTTCTTTACAAGGTTAATAAACAGGAAAAGGCAAGTGATCAAGATGTAACCATAATTATGACTAGGTTTACTGCAGACTGCTACTTAAAGCTACAAGACACTATCATTACAGGCAATCCTCTTTAATGTCAGCATCAATTTAAAATGACTCAGGATTTTTCAATAAGTGGTCTAAGCTTATTCAAGTTTAAAATGACCTCATGAAAGTAGTGACATATTTTTACCATTCCATAGTGATAAAATTACTAAGATTAAAGTGTCAGCCACTCTGAAGCTATTGTTTGCAAAGGTACTAAAGGCAAACGACCACATAGCCAACCAATAATTATAAATGAAAAATCAATTTCTAATTAAAAGTCAAAGATCAAATAGTGAAGGACGTCTGTGGCAGGGTGCTGAGTACTGACTGGAATAAGCTACGAGCAATGTCAAAAGATTAGCAGGACGCTCATTAATGCTCACCAATGGTAAGAGCAGACAGGTTCGCACAAAACTCTGCTTGGACACAGAGCTGCTTTTCTCCAAGATAACTTACTTGGGATGTAGCATAACCACAGAAAAATGTGAGCAGTGTAATTTTCCATTGTTCACTTAATTTACTATTCTATAAATATAGTCAAAGAAAGTTCACCTGAAAGTTTAAAATTATGGGGAGATGAATATGTCAAATTACTTGTTTGCTCAAATTATTCTGTTGCTATTTTCCATTGCTTTCATTCCAATCCTCGGCTGTTGTAAAGTTTTATCATATCAGTGGGATATGGGCAATGCCTAAATTCATACACAAAATTATGAAAAGGCAAAACTACACTATATTCCTATAAATGGTATGTTTCACTATATTCTTATAAATGGTAAATTCATACACAAAAATTATGAAAAGGCAAAACTACACTATATTCCTATAAATGGTATGTTTCAAGGGCAACACATACATACTGATGATAAAAGCTTGGATGTTGGAGGCAAGGAATCAAACATTGACACTATACTGTATTAGCATAGCTTAAATAAGAGAGGGTAGAGTTCACGGATTCTGGTTTTGAAACCTGGTTCAGCCACTCACTAGATGTGTGACTTGGGAAATTAGTATTTCTGGGCCTCAATTTAATTATCTACAAAAATAGGAATCACATCATAGGGTTGATATGGGTTTAAATGTGTGAACATACATTAAGCACTTAGAGTACCAGGTAAGAACTATGCAAGTGTTTGCTTTATCACTGTATTGTTATTACCACAATAACTAACAGCTGGCTGGTTTTTACCAAAGTTACTTAACCATATCTATTTCTTATATTAACAAAGATACGAAACAATGGTATTTAATAATAATTTAAATAAAAATTTGAAAATAAATTCATATAGTGTGCCTAAGAGTTTGTCTGGTTTGATGACTCAAGGCAAATGCATGGAGATGATGATATCAATCTGGATTTTACAGCAAAATAAGAAATTTGGTAGGTAAAAAAATCTCTTTCTTCACCCACAAGTGGGGTAATAACATCCTCCACATCGAACACTTGGTAAAGTTCACAGCCCGCGCGGGGAGCGTCAGAGCCCAGCAATTTCAGCAGTTGGTTTTGGGGATTCGTCGGTGCTCGAGCAGAAGTACTATCATGAATCCTCCAGGGCAGGTGGCTCACTGATTTCCTAATTACCCATTACCTGCAAAATATTAGGTGTACACAGAAGAACCTCTCCAGCTGGGGCAGCCTCTGAAAAGGTGGCTATGTCTGTTTCAAGCTGCTTTGCTGATTCCCAACATGCCAGCCCTGTTCCTGAGTCCAACGCAGGGTTCACAGTCATCTCTGGAAAACAGCACAGCAGCCACGGTCGCCATCGTGGAGACGGGCAGGTTACACAGCCGCCCATAAAAGCTTGGCTCTCCTTACTTCATGTCTTTCAGAAGTCTCTGGATGAGATTTCTTGTCAACATTTCTATGGTGGCATGATTTAAATAGAGACACCGCTATACAAAACCAACACCCCATGAGTCCACCTGGAAGAAGACTGTATCTCCAGCATCACGTGTGTTTTCATAGTATAGCATGACAATGTGGCCCATTGCAAAAGATTTAAAGACTATTGTGAGAATCCAGCTGTGTGTATAAAACAGCCTGCATGATTTGAATTTGTGTTTTTAAACCCAGATAGAGTCTGAGGTGAAGCAGAAGGGGAAGGCTGGGTGGGCTTCCTAGTCTTCAAATTTTCTTACCCCACTTCACCTGAATAAAGTCCTTAAAATGAGGGAGCTGGCACTCATCTCCTTGGTCTCTGGCTCGCGATCCTGTCAACTTCCTCAGCCTTGTACTTCCTGTCCAAGTGCCATTTTGCTGTCTCCTCTAAGGTAACAGCACCAGTATCTGCTTCTCTTATACTATTTTGCTGTTGATTGTTCCTGGGGGGTGGGGGGGGACAGGAATACAGGGGGGAAAGATCATCATGCCACCTTTTTTTAAACAAAAAAAAGATGCTCAATTTACCTTAATGCACAAAGACTTCATAGCCGAAAGAGTAATCTTGTGTGTAAACCAATGATTTGGATAAAATCAGCAACTTTTTCTTTATCAAGACAAAAATGGGCTTCTTGTTTTTGCAAGAAAAAATTCTACTATCTGTTCTGTTCCTTTCAGCTACTTTTATTTCTATATCCAACATCTTTCCTAAAGTTTCACATTCTCTTGTTTTACTTGATTAGCAGTAGGGTGTATCATTTTACTTGGTGTTGATAAGTCAAGTTTGACATTTTGAACTAAAGGTGTTATTTCAACCTATCTGTGGCGTATTTTCAAAATAAATCTACTTCACAATGACACCAAAACTGAGTAGAAATCTCAGTGTATGCTACTGAACCTAACACAGATTACTTAAAGGATGTAAATATAAGGAATAAGAGCAATGGTGAGGCCACAGCCAGAAACTGAGAAATCAGAAACGTGATCTTATGTTCGCAGGAAAGCATTACTTTTTATATTAAAAAAAGCTTAATTTCACATAATCGCAAAAACCAAAGATAGTAAGTTGGAGATGCAACTATTACATAAGACAAAAGTCAAGGTAGTAAATGACCACCTCGGAATCACCAAATAGTAACAGCTCTAATTCCAAAGAGATTATTTTATGACAGATTATCAAGTTCTATGGCAATTACATGATTTTGAGCAATGTCCAGAATTCTGTAGTGCTAAAAACATTTCTTTTTTTTACCTGTATTTTGATACTTTACATACACAGAGAGGTGTGAAGAGGTACTGCAGACTAATTACTCCTACATCTCTGGACCTGCACCAGCTCCTGACTTGTCAGTCTCTGGAACTGTGCGCATCTATTACAAAACTCCTGTGGATGATATGCGTAGGAATCAATCCCGCATCATAAGCCTTTAAAGTCCATCCTGGGGGCCTCCCTGGTGGCGCAGGGGTTAAAGACAGCGCTATCAAGCTATCGGCAGCCACAGCAGCACAAATTTGATCCCGGGCCAGGGAGCTGACCCACACGGCGCAGCAGACCTCTCCTGCCTTGCCTGCTGCTCCCCTCTGCAGTGTATTTCAGTAGATCTGCCTGTTCTGCTCCCCACTTTGTCTCTGGTGAATCCTCTCATCCCCACACCTCTGGTCTGCACTACAGTTCTTGTATGCATAAATAAATAAATCCTTAAAATAAATAAATAAATTCCGTTCTAGTCCCATGGACCCTGAATGCTCCTTACTTTCCCTTCTGTGTGTCACTTTCTCTCTAGCGCTGCTACATAGTGCAGTG